CTGGCTCCGGGAGGAGCGCGCAGGCTGCTCCGCCGGGAGCGCCGAGCGGTGTGGACAGACAGACAGACAGACAGACAGCCAGCCAGACAGCCAGCCAGCAGCAGCACCCCCAGCCAGCCTCAGGGACGGCACAGCAGCCCAGAGCTGCGGCTCACGGCACACAGCAAGTGCCGCTCCCTCACGCAGCTCAGCCTGCTTTCTAGCAATGGAACCAGACCGTGAGCTGACGCTCGGAGTCCAGTCTCTGAATGACATCCCAAAAAAGCTGTCTTCTGATTTGGGGTGCACAGTGTCTGTGCCAGTGCAGGGAAAGCCAGACCAGCATGGCACAAAGAGAAGCAGCAAAGCCAGAGCTCAGTTCCACAGATGTGCTCCTTTCCTGCCTGCAGAGCTTGCCCTGCCTTCCCTACAAGCCATGAGAAATTCTGGAGGCTGTTTCTCAGATTCGTGACATAATCCAGTACTCTTTGTGCAACAGCAGCAGCAGCACCCCCAGCCAGCCTCAGGGACGGCACAGCAGCCCAGAGCTGCGGCTCACGGCACACAGCAAGTGCCGCTCCCTCACGCAGCTCAGCCTGCTTTCTAGCAATGGAACCAGACCGTGAGCTGACGCTCGGAGTCCAGTCTCTGAATGACATCCCAAAAAAGCTGTCTTCTGATTTGGGGTGCACAGTGTCTGTGCCAGTGCAGGGAAAGCCAGACCAGCATGGCACAAAGAGAAGCAGCAAAGCCAGAGCTCAGTTCCACAGATGTGCTCCTTTCCTGCCTGCAGAGCTTGCCCTGCCTTCCCTACAAGCCATGAGAAATTCTGGAGGCTGTTTCTCAGATTCGTGACATAATCCAGTACTCTTTGTGCAAATCTACTGCCTCGGTATTATTTTTTAACCTTTGGAAGACTAATTCCAGTAAGCCCTCTCCTACTGGAAGTGTATTTAATTAATTCAAGCTATTGTTAAGTTTTTTCTAAGTAGCTCATTGTGATGGTTTTGGGTGTAGTTCTATCAGGAGTTCATAAAAGTCTTAACATGATAAGAAAATAAAATTTTTCTTTCAGTTGAAGCTTTCACACCTTCTCATCCTTCAAAAAAATAGTGGGTTTTGTCATTTTTCATTAGGCTTTTCCCTCTGCACGCAGCCTGCCTGTCTGCAGGGACAAATCCAGTGGCTCCCACTGCTCACACAGGAAGACTTGCACTAATTCCTGTATTCCCACTACTCAAATTGCTTTGTAGTGCATTCCCACTTACAACTCTGCAACTGATATTCACTGCTTATTCAAACTCTTCACCATTCACAAGCTACATCTTACCAAAGCTTCACATTTCATCAAAATATAATGATGGAATCCCAGCCTGGTTTGGGTTGGAAGGAACCCCAAATCCCACCCATCCCACCCCTGCCATGGCAGGGACACCTTCCCCTGTCCCAGGCTGCTCCAGCCTGGCCTTGGACACTTCCAGGGATCCAGGGTAGCCACAGCTGCCCTGGGTAACCCTAAGGCTTCAGGGAGGGCAAAGAGGCATCTGAGGTCCTGCTCACAGTAAAGCACTGGCTTTCAAGGACAAACCCAGCCCAAACCCAGCCTACAGCCCACCTTCTGCCTCTGCAGCACAAGTGCCACCTCCAGGCATGACCAGTGACTTAGGGTGACAGCAAACAGCTCTGTAATCACTAGTCCCCTACCTTCTAGTTCTTACAGAAAAAAAGACATTATTAAAGCTTGCAACCAATCCTGCACCTCCTTTCATGCAACTGAACCAGACATCAGAGCTGTACTTCTACTGCAAGAGTTTTTTTAAAGTGCAAAACCATGTCTGAATTTCCTTTAAGAACAGGGGAATAGCCAAAGTGAATTCCTGAACCTCACATGAGAATGTCTTGCAACAACTTCTAAAGAACATTTCTAAACCACTTGTAGCTGTACTCAGGATTACAGACTAATATATTTTTATCAGATGGTGGTTGTTTTTGCTCCTTGTGTTCTGCTTCCTGGCAAACTGCTGAGGTGTCTGACCCAGCACCTAACAGGCAGCAAAAGCAGAAGGAGAGCTGGCTGAAGTGATGGTAACAAGGGATGTCTCAGTTTGGCAGGACAGTCAATCAATACCAGTCACTGTCTGGAGAATTTAGAAAAAAAAAAAAAAAAGTTTATTTCTTGGATCATTAACTGGAGATACAGCACTGCATCTACAAGTGGTCATGGATTAGATGCAGAACATCTGGCCCACGGGAATTTGGGCATATCTGTACATTATTTAATAAACAGATTTACACTTTACTTGCCCCCCCCCCAAAAAAAACCCAGCCTCCTAAAATGGACAATTTTGAACAAGCAAAACAAATTCAACACTGAAATCATGGAAGTGATAAAGTCTCTGACAGCATTTGTAGTCTCTATTTGGAAAGAAAGGTCCTTCTACAAAAAAAGCAGCCCAAGAATTACAAGTTCCATGAGCAATCAGTGCAAGTTTTGGAGTCATGTGGTTAACACTAACAGCAAAATTATACCACAATCTTTAATTAGCTTTGTTTTCAAATTGTGATTGTTGCCATCCCTAATATCAAATCTTTCCCTCAATCTCTGTTTTATCCTCCAGTCCTCCTCCCTGAATCCAACTGAACTTTTCCGTTTAGAGAAGTCCTGTCCAACCCTTTAGAAAATCCATATTCAATAAGTGATGGATTATCCTGGTCTTTCAGAAACGGTCAGACTGAACAGAGCCCTTCTCTTTCTGACACAGAGACTGAACAGAGGTCAGGGATTAGTCACCGAGCAAAGGCAAGGCACGGACAAGACAAAGAGGAGACAGTGATTTTCTGTATTAATGACCCAGTTAGGAAAATCCAGCTGCCAATCTAACACAGCCACTTGTCCCAGTGTTTGTGATGAAGCCAGACACCTGAGAAACAACTATAGAATGTAAAATGTACGTTAGAAGTGCACTGTAAAAGAAAGGATTTTCTGGTAAAGTTGCCTGGCTGAGCAGTTTCAACTCCGGAATAAACTTCTAAGAAAATCCAGCAAAACACTCTGCATGGAATAGGCTGGAGAGCAACTTCATGGTGTCCTCCTCCTCCAGAGAGCTGATTTTTCACAAAATGCACTAAAAATTGACAGCAGTAGCAAGTTTGCACTGTCACAAAATGTATGTGCAATTCAAAGGCTATTTCAAGGAAACAGTTGTCCATCAAGCAGGTTTAGATGTGCAGTTTGGTAAGAAAGGATTTAAAAGATGGTAATGAGTAAATATGTCCCTAAATGAGGCCCAAAATCTAGCCATGTATTTGTACTAGGAAATTAAATTTGGGCAGTTATTAACAAATAAATAGCTTATTTTTTATATTTAATTCCAATTTCAAGGCAAAATGTAACAGGAGAGGAAAGGCCACAAATCAAAACAAAAAATCAAGAAGTCACAAAGCCTGTAAGTAGTTCTGGTATTCCCACAGGAAAATGAAACTTTAGTGGTAGTTTTGCAAAACCAGGTGCTGAATGATTCATGGAGCTTTCCTGCTCTGTGCAAATCCAGACTGCTCAGGAGTTACCTGGGAAGCAAGATGCCCCTAGGAGCCAGGTCTAAGAAAAAAGAACCATTTAAAAAATATACAAGCTACTTATATACATTTCTACAAGATTTCTGGGAACTTCAGAGCAAGCTACAAAACATACAGAGGGGAGATAAAGGAAGAAAACAACTGAGTGAGTCCAGTTTCGAGCAGTTTCCAGTCTATCCCTCCAATGGCCATCATTTTAAATGGAATGCCAAACAAGTGGCATGAAAATGAAAACACTGTCAGCACAATTTCCCCATAGCAGGCAGCAAGGAAAAATATTTACTGCATCCAGTAACAAAAATAAAATCCCAAACCCAAGCTGAGCACACATGGCCCTGCAAGTTAATTCACACTTTGGAAAGGAGCGCTGCCAGCCTGGACAGTTAGAACACAGAAAACTTAGGGGCAAAAAAAGAACTTTCTCATCAGAGTCAAGCAAAACTCCACCCAGGTTCTGCACTCTACAGAAAACACTTTTCCCAGTTAAAACATTTCTTGTTTTCTACTCTGTCCAAAACATGAAGGGCCTGGAAAGTTTCAGAGAAATGTGAAGGTGTGCCCTTTTTCCCTGCTTAATATCCCTATTTATAGCTCCCAAACGTTAACAAGTGGGAATCAAATCTCTCCACAGCTGCAGGATCCCTTTAAACTGCACTTTTCAATGCAGCACAAATGACAGAGCTGCACTCTCTGTGCGTCAGAGCGAAACTTGACAAGCCTGACAGACTCCACTGGTGTTTCTTTTTTTCCCCTCCCTGTATCCCTGTATCGTATCACTGTTGTTACCTTTTATCCTAAGCCCAGAACTGTAGACAGTTATCCTAAGCCCAGAAGTGTGCCCAGTTCTGGGCTCCTGAGGACAAGAAAGTCCAGGAGCCACTGGAGAGGGTCCAGCAGAGGCCACAGAGGTCATTTTGGGACTGGAGCATCTCTGAGATGAGGAGAGACTGCGGGAGCTGGGCCTGCTCAGGCCGGACAAGGGAGGGCTGAGAGGGGACCCCATCAACCCGTGCCAAGCTCCCCCAGGGCTGCCAGAGGCCGGTGCCAGAGCCAGGACAAGGAGCACTGGCCAGGAACCGAACCACAGCAAGTTCCACCCAACACGAGGAAGAACTTCTTTCCCTGGAGGGGCAGAGCCCTGCAACCGCTGCCCAGGGAGGGGCTGGGGTCTCCCTCTGCAGAGCCATTGCAAACCCTCCTGGGCAGCTCCTGTGTGCTGCTGCTGCAGGGGACCCTGCCTGGGCCCAGAGATCCTCTCCAACCCCAGCTACCTAGGGATTCAGGGATTCACACCAAAGACCTGAAGGAAGGCACCGTGACTGCTCTGTGATGCTCTACGGGTGGGAGCTCGCTTAGTCATGGCACACACCCCCGGCACGGCCGGGGATGCTGCGGCGCTGCCCCGCGGCCGCCCGGGAGGGCTCAGCGCGCAGGGGCTCCCTCACCTTCCGCCACGTCCTCGTCGATCGCCCCCTTCACCTGCAAGAAGCACCACTGCACCTCGTTGTTGCTGCCGCCGCCGTCGCCTCCAGCTCTCGCCACTACTGCGGAGGGAGAAAGGGCGGTGAGAGAAGGAGGAGAGAGAAGACCCCGCGCCGCCCCCGGCCCGGACCCCTCGGGGCCGCCGCGCTCCCGCATCACCCGCCGGTGCCGCCCGGCGCGGCCAGGCCTGCGGCCGGCTGCCGCGGCCACACGGAGCCGACCCGCGGCCCATCCCGGCGCGAACGCGGAGCCGAGCGCGGAGCGCGGACACAGACCTGCCATGGCGGGGGGAGCCGCGGGAGCGGGGCCGGGAGCGGGGCCGGGAGCGGGACGGAGCCGCCCGGAGCCGCGGGAGGGTTCGCGGTTTCAAAATGGCGCCCATTGCCGGGCGGCCCGGCCGTGACGTCACCGCCGGCTCCCCTCAGGGAGGGCGGGCCGGGCAGCGAGCGGGGCGGTGATCCCGATCCCGATCCCGATCCCGATCCCGATCCCGATCCCGATCCCGGCACCGGCACCGCACGCGGGGCGACCAGGGCGGCGGGAGCGGGTGGATGAGCATGAGCATGAGCATGAGGAAGAACAGCTGGTCTTGGTGCTGTGGAGGCGCTCCCCAGGCGGCAGCGGGGGCTCCACGAGCGCCGCTCCAAACGCGGCTTTACGTGAAGGGACGGGGCGGGGAGATAACGCTGTGCCTCCCGATTTATTTCTGCTCGCTCCCTGAAGAGTTACTTGTGATGAGGGAATAAAACCCAAAAAACTAAAGCAACAAAAAACCCAAACGTGCCTCTGACTCGTTTCCGCCTGCAGCGAGCGCCAGAGCCGGGCTGAGGGGAGGGAGGGAAGCGGCGGCTCGGGGGTCAGCGCTGCTCTGGGACAGGTTTATCACAGAATCCCAGAGTCACTGGGGCTGGAAAAGCCCTCCGGGATCACGAGTCCCAGCTGTGCCCGGTGCCCACCTTGTCCCCAGCCCAGAGCTCTGAGTGCCACCTCCAGGAATTCCCGGGACACCTCCAGGGATGGGCACTCCAGCCCTCCCTGGGCAGCGCCTGCTAGCTCTACCCTGGTGTTTCAGTGACAGCATTTCCTAAACCCGGCTCAGCTCTGGTGTCTCAGTGGCAGCATGCCCTAGGCCCGGCTTGGTGTCTCAGTGGCACCATTCCCCAGGCCCGGCTCAGCTCGGTGTCTCAGTGGCAGCATTCCCTAAGCTCAGCTCAGTGTCTCAGTGGCAGCATTCCCCAGGCCCGGCTCAGCCCGGTGTCTCAGTGGCAGCATGCCCTAGGCCCGGCTTGGTGTCTCAGTGGCACTAAGCCCGGCTCAGCTCTGGTGTCTCAGTGACAGCATTCCCTAAGCCAGGCTCAGCCCTGGTGTCTCAGTGACAGCATTTCCTAAGCCCAGCTCAGCTCTGGTGTCTCAGTGACAGCATTCCCTAAGCCCGGCTCTGCTCTGGTGTCTCAGTGGCAGCATGCCCTAGGCCCGGCTTGGTGTCTCAGTGGCAGCATTCCCCAGGCCCGGCTCAGCTCGGTGTCTCAGTGGCAGCATTCCCTAAGCTCGCAGGCCAGAGGCCCGGCCTGTCCTGGGAGCTGCGGCAGGCGGATCCAGGATCCAGGCCGAGCCGGGCCCTGGGGCCGTGGCTGGCCGGGTTTGGGGCCCGGGGCAGGGCTGGGAGCAGGGAGCGCGGCCGGGGATCCCTCAGGAGCTGCTCTGGAGCCCCGGCTGCGGGGCTGCATCTTCCCGGCTCTCCTGCCTCACAAACTGAATATTCCCGGTGCCCCGTTGAGTTCGGGCCTCTCACACTGACTGCTTGTTTTCCAAGCACGGATTCTGGAAGTTGTGAAGATGCAATTTCTGCCCCTAAGTCCGAGAGAGCAGAAAGAAATGGAAATCAATTCTGCATTTGCTCCCAAACCTCTCTGTTCATGTATTCCTGGTCTCTAAGTCCCTTGGAAAGTGGTACAACTTAAGAACTTTAAAGCCCAGCTGCTTCTAGGGAAGGGCTAAGTGCTTGGAAGGAAAGGTGACAGGTCTGCACTGTTGTGTCTCAGGCTGAGGTGGTTTCCTAAATCCTGTTGGTTGTAGGAAACTCAAGGAAAGTGGTTGATGAACAGACATGGTTAATTGTGATCTTGAACCCAGATGAGTGAAGAACATCCTCTTACAGAGTAAGAGTCTTGTTAGGGACAAGTAAATCTCTCTGCTGGGAGTCTTTATCTTACTAAATGGAATTTTACCTGGAAGTTCTTTGGGATTTTCCTGTGGAAGGACTAAAGTCTAACACTTGCCTGAGTTCAGGATGATTCCTCTCAGAGACATTTCTGCTATGGGCTTGCAGCCTGTTCTTGGTAATGTAGATACAGAAATGTCTTTGACTCAAGTTTTCCATATTTAATTTCTTGCTATGACATCTGTACCCATTTATAAATTCATTACTTGATTTGTGTTTATTCCTTATGCAGTGTGTTGTGTATCAAGTGTTTAAATAAAATAATTTTTTACTTAGTCTCTTGGCTGTCTCCTCTGTAGCTGTAGGAAAGTCATCCTGAAGGGCAAAGAATGCCTTTAAACGCTGTCCTTTGGCAGTGGGAAGTCCTTCCCCCGTGCCCTGGCACTCCAGGCCCTTCTCAGTCATCTCTCTCCAGTCTCTTGTGGGCTCCTTCAGGTGCTGCGAGGCCACTCTGGGGTCACCCCAACCTTC